CAGAATATTCAAGTAACTACGCGTATCAATCGACTAGGCGCCGAAAGTTCGAGTGTCGGGCTTCTAGAAGCTTAGTTCTTCGTTTCGATACTAGATGGCGCTGTCGGTTGAAAGATTAGTGATGTGATTTTCTGGAAAGCTCCCCTCGCTCTCGTCCCCGACACTAGATGGCGCTAGTGCCGGGCACATGACGTCAACTTAGGCGCGCAACAATATTATACTTAAAAAGGTGTGAATACAAACCTTTCCTTTTTTTATCTATATTTGCAATATTTAAATAAACTATATATTTTGTATTATCAAATTATAAGTGATAAACATTCCTAATTTTATTAACGGATCGCGCCTCTACATATTATTATGTTAAAAGTTGAAGATCGTTGACCTAAAACTATCTGTCTACATTCTATATGATATTACGAAATTATATGCAGGGCGGGCAGTGGAAGTTCATTGTCACTTTATATTTTAATATAATATAAAGGGAAATTACATTTAAACATTTGCTCCGGCATTTCGGTCATTTACTTTGTTCTTGTATTAATGTAGTATTCAGATATTCTTTTTAAGGTACCTTACATATGTATTAGTTATCAATAGATATCCATTATTCCTTTTTTTGTTCATTTTTATAACAATATTAGTTAGCAACGTATTCACAACTCATAGCTAAACAAAATCAAAATGAAAAAAGGTGATGGAAACACACTGCAGCGTATAAATCATATTAGCAGCTTGAATGAGTTGGTTCGACTGGGTTTGTTGTGAAGACGGGACGTGACATTTCAAATGAGTCCTCAGAGATCATCATATTTTATGTGGTTCATAGACAAGATAATATTTGCGCTTGTCTATGGACCACAACATTCACGCACAATCAGGTGAACTTTGCGCTTTTTTGTTTTATAAAAAAGACAAGCCAGCAATAACAAATCTTTCCTATTTATGAACGAATTCGTTAGTACAGCACCAATGGAAAGCTCCTGCCCTACCATGATATTATCATCAACCATCAGACCGGCAAAAAGCAGCAACGTTAAAGAAACGAGACTTCTGGTATTGCATCACATCACTTAACCAACTGCCACAGTTGGTGATCATATCTATTGCTCCCAAATATGAGAAAAAGTTACAAGCATCTAAGCTAAAAGCATAGGTATTTAGAGAAATGTTCTTTTGTACTAGAGTTCATTTATTTTTACATACATACATATATAAGCCCTCACACGCCTGTCACCCAGAGAGGATTCAGAGACTGCGGACTTCGATTTGGCACGACCCTGACTCACCTACCCTCCTGCCTCCTTTACATCCATATACCTACGTATACATGCTCGTCGGTAAAGGCTACTTTTAATTTGGCCCATTTTCAATATATCGCCAATTTGGTCGATAAACTTTCGCCTAGGGTGTCCCTTCCCGACTCTGCCGTTCACTTCTGCAACATAGACTTGTTTTGTCATTCTATCTTGTTTCATTCTTTATATATGACCAAACCATCGAAGAATTCCTTTCTTAATCCTGGTTGCAACATCATCTTGCTAACCACACCTTTCTCTTATCCTCACCCTGTCACTCAGATTCAGCCCTTACACACTCCTTAATGACCGCATTTCTACAGCATTTATTCTTCTTTCATGCTTCTTCTGCCACACTTAACTTTCCCTACCAAATATTAAACTAAAACAGAATTTCCACACGTGCCTTTTTTGACACAATAGAGTGCGGAGCCCCTTTTACTCTATTTGCGTTCACTCGTCGTTCTATATCCTTATCATATTTACTTTTCTTCCCACGTAAAAAAAATGATGTGAGAAACAATGACGCTTCAAGAAATCTGCATTATGTGAACATGTTTAGGAGTGTCTCGTCATTATATAAAATAAGATAGATAAAGGATGATTTGTGAGGCTATTAAATTTATAAAAAAACAACTTAATTTCAGTAGACAAGGCAGTTGAGTGCTACCATCTGCTTGGGATGGATGCCTTATTATCTAGAATCTATAATAAGGAAACCTTTGAATAGATACCGAAGATACTGTCATATATTAGCAAAATACTGTAATTCAACTTAGATCCGGTCAAAATACATAAACAATGCTGCGGTAATGTTACTCTGAACAGTAATAAGTTAAAATTAAAATTAAGCACGAAAAACTCGTCAATTTAGTTTTTATTCAAATTGTAACATACACAATTGATGATCACGTTACCAGACGAGTCGCTCCTTTGACTCGACTCCCAATCGCCAATATTTATAAACTTTCATCTGATAACTACAAAATTGTAATATTGTATCGACTGGAGGTCAATAGCTTAATTTTTCAATATAGTCTTATACGATATGGGGGAAAGCTCTTAGGCCGCCAACACACGACGATCGCAATTTGTTTTCTTTTTTTTTGTTTAATCGGCGGCGTAGTAGCTAGGTACAGATTTGTGTAACATATATGATTGTAAGCTGTTACTTTAAAATAAAAGTTCCGCTGGGTTTCTTGCTGGTTATTCTCAGGACAGAGGTTTTGTTTACCGAACCGGTGGAAAATTACAATAAAAGTAACTTTCAATAACAATTGTTTAGAATATATATTGAATAAAAAAGTTTCTGTACTGTTTCTGTTCTGGTATTCTAACTACAAGGCTACGAGCTAGATAAATATACTATATAGCTGTGTTACGAGACTATACGTAGTACAAAAACAAAGCATAGAAATTTATTACTACTTGTACCACTTGTCCTTTGTATGTATAGAAAAAACTTATTGAATTATGATTATAGACGGGTAAGAACTACAACGCAAACCTCAACTATTTAACTGTTTATAAGATTGAAGATCTTTGATTGGATAAATTAGATTTTTAGACATCTAATTATTGATTTAAAAATCCAACGTTTGTCTTGTTTGCTGCTACTTTCATAACAGATTGCGTTGATTTGTAAAATTCATCTTGAGGTTAACTTGGGTCGACTTTTTTTCGAACTTTGCCTAAGAGGCAAAAAAAAAAATAAAAAATACAAAGTGTATTTTGTAGGTGCTCAAATAAAATTCGACAAAATATTAAAATAGTTTATCTTATATAAAATTATTTTTTTTACGTAAGTAACTGCTCTAACTCTTTGCGCCACACTTTTATATTTCGAATAATATAAACAAAAAATATATTGTCGTGAAGCGACAGTTAAAAACTAAAGAACCTAACCTAACAACGAAACAACCAAAAAGAAAATAATTTATTTAAAATTTGTAAAGATATTTACAGTTTCTTTTATAAAATGTAAAGCCACAATTAAAAACTATAGAACCTAACCTAACAACGAAACAACCAAAAAAGAAAATAATTTATTTAAAAAATTGTAAAGATATTTACAGCTTTTTTTTATATAAAAAAAGGTATGAGGGTGATGATGGGCTGTAGTGATGATAGTGAATTACAATTTTTTAAAAAAAAATAAAAGTTAATAAAGATAAACGAGTACGGAAACAATGTATGTACAGGCTATGTCTGTGGTAGATGCACAGCGCCTAATCTAGGTACACGCAGCGCTTGAAGTAGGCACACACAGCGACCAGAATGAGCACACACAACACCCGGAGTAGACACACACAGCGCCTGGAGTAGACACGCAGCGTCTGGAGTAGGTCCACGCAGCGTCTGGAGTAGGTACACACAGCGTATTGAGCAGGTACACGCAGCACTTAGAGTAGGCACAAACACACCGCTCGGAGTAAGCACACACAACGCCCGGAGTAGACACACACAGCGCCCGGAGCGCCGGAGACACGCAGCGTCTGGAGTAGGAACACGCAGCGCTTGAGACAAGCACGCTCAGCGGCCGAAGATAGCGCGGGCACTAATAGGTGGAGGCGTAGGCGTGGCTAGGCGACGACTTCAGGAGAAGGCAGAGGCTTGCAAGATCCCGAGGCAGTGCGGATAAAGCCTTTAAGAGGTGCTTCTCGTATCAAAGCTGAAGTGAGAACCTCTATTGGCCGATTCCTCGGCTTTTATACTTTTTGACGGATCTGGGATAAGAACGAGAAATTATTTGAAATTATTTAAATTAAAAGCAAATTTTTGTAAATGGCCAAGAAGAAAAGAGTATTTTTGAAGTAAAAACATCAGGCCGGTAACGATATTTGAATAAAAATTGCCATGACAACCAGATAAACAACGATGTCAAAACATGTCAAATTTTGGTTTTAGGCTCGTAATAGAGAAACGGTAAGATTTAAGTGAAAGATGAGATATTATTGATATAGGAAAAAAGGTAGCGCAACAGTGCGCACGAAGTCCGAAATTGCATAGTTACGGAGAACTAAATAAAATACCGAAAAAGGTAGACTCCATTGACACCGATTTAAAAAGTGCTGATAACGTGAAAATACGATGTGAAAATGATTTGTTATTGTATTCTTATGGTTTAAAAACGTTACAGGATCCTATGAAAATAAAGGTGATGCAAAATATCCAGTTTTGAGGCTAATGCAGAAAATCAAAAACAGAATGGAAAAATAAATTTAAAATAGTGTAAAATGATATGTAAGTAGCATAACACTACAATATATGGCTGTATTAGTTAGGACTACTACATGTATACAAAAAAATAAAAAAATTGCTTCAGCCTTAAGGCTTTTGTGGAATGAGCTGGTTACCAGTACTAACCACCGTGGCTATAGAATAAAACATGTGTGATGAATAAAGAACTTTATTTTTAGAATTATTTCCTTACTTCAACTACTTTTTGTGAAAATTAGCAAAGCAAGTTTTTTTCTTTACGTAGGCAAAGAGGAACTTTACACATGCTACACTCCCAAACTGTGCGTACTGGATGAGATTTTGTACTGCACTTGCAGCAGCGCCTAGATGTGCCCTGTTGTGGTTGGTGCCGACTACTTTCTAAACGTATTTCTTGGGGAACTGTTGGTTTGTGACGTTTTATTAGCACGGAAATCGGAGAATGCGCTGGAGAACTGATATTGGAACCGTAAGATCGCTTATTCACAAAAGCAGGGGCAAGAATGCCCTGGTAGACAGAAGGCGGAATTCCTTTATTGTCAGTCTTGAAAGTCCCGTATGATCAAGTTTTTGAAGATCTTTGTAAATAACAAAAGAATTTACCAACGCGCAGTCCAGGAAATTAAAGAATATTCTATGCCACCATTTACGAGACTTTCTTTCAATGGCATAACAGCTTTTGAGTTGGGCAAACTTGTCTACAAAGTTCATATTTGCGTTGTAATCCTTTACAAGTTCAGGGCAAGCTATCTGGTTTGAGTCACCATTACGCTCTTTGCGAATAACAGTACTGACATTTCGTGAGTCGTGGTAGTTTGATAAAAGGTGGACTACCCTCTTATCTTTCCACTTCATCACAGTCACATTTGTGTCACTGACTCGATAGTCATGTTCACCCCTTTCTAACTTAGTATCTTCTTTGAGTGTAGGTAAATGTTTTCTAGTAGCATTTACAGTACCACAAGCCAAGATTTTGTCGTTTAGTAAATCAATCTGCAATTTGTAACTGTTAAAATAATCATCAAAGTAGACTCTGTGATATTTACCTTTGAGATCTGTACATAATCGCTTTACTAATGTCTCACCCAAATCTTTTCTACATTGTGTTCTTGTTTGCTTGTATATAATTGAAAATCGAGACAGTAACCAGGCTCAGCACACTTCATCCAAACTTTATAGCCCCGTTTGATCGGTTTTTTCGGCATGTACTGCTTTAGAGAAGACCGTCCTTTAAATTTTATCATACTTTCGTCTACTGCAACTTTTTCTGAACGCTTATAATTAGCGCGGAAGTTTCTTTGAATAATATTCAACAAAGGACGAATTTTATACAATTTATCAAAATTGGGATTCTCTCTAGAAGGAATCAAGCTATTATCGTTCAAATGAATATGATTCAAAAGCCACCCAAATCTGTTCAAAGGCATAAAATCAGGTGCAGATGCCCAATAATCTTTGTAGCTTGGTAGCTTTTTAATACCCACAACCAAATTTAGAGCCAGAAACACATCAATCTCTTCAGGAGTAGTCGGTTTATAGTTTTTACTAGTTTGAGCAGCGTATAAGTTGGTTTGAAAGCTGATTATTTCTAGCAAATCCTCTGTATAAAACAAGCGAAAAAGTTGTAGAGGCGTTATATTTTCCATGCTTTGAATATGTTCAGGAATACCAGAAATCTCACAAAAAGTACCAGGCAGTTTCATAGTGTAGCTTTTTTTCCATTCCTGTGGTCGAAATGTCGAAGAAATATCATCACGTGGTTGAGAAGTAGAAGCAGAGGTAGTCGGGGTACTTACAAAATTAGCCAGAGGTATATCATCATCCGAGTCAAAGTTGTCATTGAATGTCTGCACAGCGATAGTGTCATTACCAAGGGTGAATTCGGGAATCACACAAGATATTTTGAATTTCTTTTTCTTGTAATGCGCGCTTCATTCTATAAAAAATAAACAAAAACCAGATTGTAAATATCTAGCAAATTATATGTAACTTATTGGCCTATTATGTCACGGTGGTTACCTACATTAACCACCACATTAAAGTTCAAGTACTATTTTAGTAATGTTACAATTAATAATACTATAGTCAAATCTACAGGCAAATGTAAACAGCAAGACTTTCGACATATTTTAAAATAAGAATAACGTTAGAATAACGAAAACATACCTTTTTAATGCAATAATGCAATCTCCGTGAATTAAAACACTCGCGACCCATCAAATCTCAAGTTCGTAATTGTAACCGATTCAACTGACAATCGATTCAACTGACACCTAACAGTCATTTATAGAGGTCAGGGATATATCTGTCATATTAATTCATAAAGTTACCAAAAGGTGGCGTTATTTTTGGAATATCATAGGTAAAAGAGGTGGTTGGCGTTACTAACCACCTACGCCGAAAGAGCTAACAGACAAAATTAATATTAACATTTATAGTAAATTTATTCATTTCCGCTGCAATATTACCGAAAAATATTTTATAGATATAATTATAATTTATAATTAGACTGTTACTAGGCCATCGCACCGATGAGGTGTTGTAAAATGATTATATTGGCGCCCGCAGTCTCCTGGCAGCAAAATATGGCGACAGAGGTATTATTATGCAGATAGGTCACCTGACGGTGTACTCGTTTCTCTTGGACTTTCTGGAGATAATGTGGCATATTATTTAAGATCTTGTTTACATAAAAAAACTTGCTTCCTTCAATGTTGTTTAAGTAATATCGCGATGCATTTTTCTAGCCACGAAATAAATGTTTTCGTAGTTTTATAATAAAATAATATTTATTTCATGGTTTATTGCTGGTTGATTTTGTTTTTATCTTTTTCTTAGAGTCAAATATACAATAAATTAATCAAGAAGCAATTATAAAAGCGATCCGTCTATGTTTTTGTTAGAGGTTTAGAGTAATTGTTTACATTTTTAAATCAAACCTAAAATATCAATTGGTGAACAAATATTATACGAGTATCCAGCACCTCCATTGTTTTAACTTTATTCATAAATCAATACTCTAAAAAAGTTCAAATAGTTCGCAAATACACACATTTGTCAACCCACATTTAAACAGGCCTTTCAAACTGGACCATTAAAAGAGGCAGCAAGTTGTGCAGTCATCTTTTTAAATTGCGGGTTGCCTTGGGTTGACTGGTAAAGAATTACCATAGGCATTAATTCAGCCGTTTTTATCCGTTTTTTAAAGGGGAATTCAATAAAGCTTTTAATAAATAACTATTCCCGTTGTTTTCAATTGTAACTTCTCTATTTCATGAATTTGAGATTGACATGTTGCTTATGGAATTTATCCATACCCAGAACAATTATTGTACGTTATGGTAAATAGTACTTATCCGGTATGAGAACTGACCCGTGATCCACACGTCGTTAAACACTTAGCCACACGTCAAAAATATGCATTGTGCACTCCACCGTGTCCCTGACACTACGAGTGTGTCAGTATTTACCGTGATCGTAACGTAATCGTCACTGATTCTCGAGTTCTGTGTTCTAATAACGACCACTGATAACTATTAGTCTGTAAGTGTTGTATGATATGTCAGACAATCCATTCCAGTCAATGTTCGATCATAGGACTTTTACTACCACGTTTACTTCCGTGCATATGTGGTTGCGCATAAAATTATGTCACTTTAATACTATGTTCTAAGCAGGTGATCACACCCAAGTTTTTACAGAAATTTTCGTTGTGTTTGATAGAATCACTATGAAATTGTATTATAGAAGAAACAAGAATAGATCAGCTAAACGTACAACTCATCTGCATTTTGATTCTTAATTAAAAAGATTACTTGAACAAATGAAGGTGAATATTTTCATAAAAATTTGAAAAGTTGTGTCTTTTAAAATAATAATATTGAAACAAATGAATTCTAACGGATAGAACATTGAATGTATAATAAATGTTAATTGGAACGATAAGGTAAATCTAGACGGTTGAGTTTATAAAGTAATTTGAATTTTGCTTATCTACTTTGATTTATTTTGTATATTAGTATTTATGGTTTTTTTAATAGGAAATGGGTGACACAGTCCACCTGATGGTAAGTGGTTGCTGTGGCCCATAGACATCTAGATCTATCCTCGTTTGCGAATCAAAATGAAGATGCGTTGTCAGCCTTGAAGACTAAGATGGAATGCCTCTTTTCCAATAAAATGGGTCTCCGATTCTCTACACTCACCATACGAAACACAGCAGCATTAAGCTGCTGTTTGACGCTGGTATTTTGTGAGAGCGTGATCCTTCCCCGGTCGAGCCGACTCATTCGTGCTATGAGTATACAATTAATATAGCTACAGCATGGCTCTACCACGTAAATAAAGTCTATGGTTGTTTCCGCTGTTACTAGTAATTTCAACTTTCTGAATGTGGATACTCGTAAAACTTACGGGATAATACTCGGAGGTATGAAAACCAATCATTACTAAAATAGTAAGATCTTGATGAAGAGCATAAACATTAATAAACAATTAACTCAAATGAATTTAATTTAAACACTTTTTGATTACTTCAGCCTATTTCATTAAAACCAACCTTTTTCATTGAGACGAGTGTAGTTAAATGTGTATGGAAATTATAGCATTTTCATTTTTATTATTCCAAATTTTGTTTTATTTTAAAATGAAAATACATAAAAATACATATTATTGAAGTAAAGTTCTTTACGCACGCATGACTTGGGGAGTAAGCTGGCGAACGTTACGAAAAGTGTGATCGGGCGAGGGGAACGGGAGTTGTGTGGGGCATATGAGAGAAAACAGTGCGCGCTCACATTTTCATTCTCTTTTTCTCCCATAGCCAGTTATTTTTTATAATTTCACTTCGGTTTGAACAATATTAAGAATTAATATTTTGTTCAATACGTTAAATATTCGTTCATTTTTTGGGAATTTTCGAGTGAATAATACCAAATTATGGAAGGAAGCCGATAATAAATTAAAATATTTGTAGAAAAGTAGAAAATTAATATATGTATATACATGTATATATTATAAATATGTATTTATATACATACAATGGAGCTAAAGAAGTTTTACTTCAGTCGTGTGGTCATAAGCACACTCGTTTTTTTATACATGTGTTTGTATTTGAATGTGTGATAAAATAAGAAAATCCGAATTAACGAAAGTCTGCAAGTTCCAAAACGTTAAAATTCTACTACGTACAATATTTACACATTACAAGGAGAAGATTAGTAACTGATCCGCTAGACGATGTTCTGCCCTTTCCAGTAGGTTGCACGATGGCTTTCACTACAGACTTTTTTCGATTAGAGCCACCTATCGATATATTCGATTCGATTCGATATATTCGATTTTCATCTATCGCGGAAAAATTATGCGATTTTCTATCGAAGCTATCATATTACATTGTGAAAATGATTCACTTTAGTCATAAATATAGAATTTGTTAACAACTTGATTACAGCGCCACATATCTTGAATATATGAACAAATATAAAACGTGAATAATGAACACAATCGGTTAAGTCGTTTAGAAGCACAATCGTAAACAGTCGCAACAAACTGGGTAAGATTTTTATACCGGTCGCGCCTTTATTTCTTGGGAATGCATCGTCGATCGTCGAATGCAGGTATGAACTGCTGTCTAAAGTAGAGTCTTTGTTAAGCAAAGTCTCAGACTGGGTTGACTAAATCTAGCCCAGTGGAATCTCTATAGTCATAAGATCTTCATAGTGACGTACCGAGTGGCGCTCAGTTTCGTAGTCACGTGGAAGGGAAGGCTTAATTGGCCTTTGAAAAATTTGGGACGTGCTCAGTTGAGCGGGAAAGTACTACATACCGGCAGCACAAGGAGGGCTCGACCTCATATGGAATACTGTTTTTATATCTAGGCCGCATCTAGCAAAAAGAGGTTTTAAAACTTTTTCTGTACTTTTTTTTATAGGAAAGAGTGACAAACGTCACGTTCTTTTCGGGTCGATAAAACAAATGGGCGTGCTTCTGGGATCAATTTTCGGCTCCTTTCTTTTTGTTGTATAATATATTAATGACTTACCTTACATAGTAGGGGATAACTATATATAGTATTATTTACTGATTATATTTCATTAATTTTTCAAATTAAAACGACAGTAACCATAATATGACAAATTAAATGGTCCTGCATCTAAATTAGTAAATTTGTTTATTGTTAATAATTTGCATTTAAATGGCACTAAAACTAAATGTGCATGCCATTCATAAATTCAATTGTCAAACAAATTAATTCTAATGTAACAAATAATAGTAATAATTTTTATTTCATTTTTAAACACATGTTTACATAGAGGAACAAAATATGATTACAATTAAAAAAAAGTAACAATAAGATTTATAAAAATAACACGCAATAATAAAAATTAAAACGAGGTGTAGCTTATTAATGTAGAATCTATAAAAGAACTCAAGTGTATAATATTAGCTACCTGTCAGAATTAGGTTGAGTACCTGTGTTTCAGACCATCACTTACACTATGGGTTTTATAATATAGGACACAAGATAATTTAAATAATTAAGTATATTATATAATAAATAAAATAACTAAGGAACGATTTTTTGTAACCTACAATTAATACAAAACTATTTTAGAATTTCTACCAACTTATCTGTGTCTTCGTAATTTAATTTATTCAGAAATTCCCGAACCTCATTTTCAAGGCTTGACATAATATGGAC